ATATAGGAACGAGGTTGCGCCGAGCTGGGAGTCACCATGGGTGTCACATTTGTCCCTTTTCTCTGGTGATGTGGTCAAAAGCACAATTCCCATGCTGGAAAGGCTGCAGAGCYGTGGAACCCCTGCAGGGGCAGGGACTGGGCTCTGGTGCCACAATCCAAGGCTGYCTTGAGCACGGAGGAGAAATGGGAATGGGAACAGACAGGTGGGTAGGATGGAGGAAACCAGGAATTGCTGCCTGGCTCCACCCCAGGAACAAACCCTGAGCTTTCTAAATCCTTGGGCTGGGCTTTTCATCCCCTGAGTTGGGCTTGGGTGACCCGGGCTTGGTGGGAAATTAAAAAAAGAGAAAAAGTGCAGGATTGGGGGAGAAAACATCACAGGGAAACCACAAACACCTTGAGGCCGCTGAGGAATACCTCAAATCCAAAAAATCCTGCAAACCAGGGGCACAAAGCTCTGCTGGAGCCACAGCTTCCAGAGGATTCACAGAAAACCTCCAAATTCATTGATAATTTCTAATGGAAAAGGCAAAAACTGTTTCCTCTTGGCTGCAGAAGAGCTTTCGGTTCTCCWTTCAGCCGGATGGGGCTCCTTACTGGATGCTGATGAAAGACTTCCCGTGATAAACTGGAATCGAGGAAATTACAACGAATCACGCAAAATCTGYGGCTCAGCAAAAGCTGGGAGCTCGTGTTTAATTCTGTTTGAGGAATTAAATATGAGGAACTGATACAAAGAGTCGAGAGATGAGTTGGGCTTTTGTTTCTCCCGCAATGGATGATCTCTGTGAGCAGATTCTAGTCCAGCAGAGAAATAAAAGATTTTGGGGAGGAGGAAATGTAGGGAAATGGAAACTTCAGCTTAATTAAAAAAAAAAATTAAAAAGAGAGAGAAAAAGGTGATTATTTAGGGAGTAAAGAGCCAAAGATGCCATTTCTTTTTTGGCTTGTCTTTGCAGAAATATGGAAAGGGTTTATGGCAAAATACTCAACACCCATGAGAGAATAAATATGGCAAAATTTAGTGCACCCAGGAGAGAAAAGGGAAAAGAGGGGAAATGAGGGAGGAAGAGGCAGTTGAAGCAGGTATAGACAACCAAAAAAAACCCCAAAAATTCACATAATTTCCACCTGAGCCAGGCTGTGGCAGGACAAATTCACATGGAGTGGGAGCAAACATATCCCTGGTCTTGCGGGATTGCATGATTTTGGCACCGCCTTTGGGTGAGAACCCCAAAGAAAATGAGGGAATTCAGCCTAAAAACCCCACTCAGGGGT